TTCCAATTTCTGTCATTCATGATCTGAAATGTCTTCATGGTATAGCTGATTATATTAGACAAGCACATGCGCACAGCTGACGTGAGGGACAGTTCTGCTTTCTGACATCTCACTGTGTTTCTGCAGCCTCTGAACCCCAGACAGGCCTTGGTGAAGAGACTATCAGTGGTCAACTTGGAGAACTTCAAGAGACAGTACGCTCGACGCAGGTGGAAGGTAAAATGCAGCCCTGGTACCAACTTGGACTATTACTTAAAGGGAGATTGCATTAAAAAAAAATTGCACGTCTTGCTTTGTAACCCATTTCTTTTTACTTTTGTCGGTTTCAACAGCTGTCATTCAGAATTGTGGCTTTGTGCAACCACCTAACACGAATCATGAAGAACCATAAAAATGAGAAGCTGCCTGAGGAGGACGGGGTAGGTTGCCGTGCAATGGTTTACATTAAACTGACACACATTGAGCTGCTCTCATTTAGATTGCTTCAACCAACAGCTGATTAGTTTAACTTTGCAAATACATTCCCCAGATACTTTATTGGGTACATCTTGTTAGTGCCAGATTGAACCCTTTTGACTTCTGGACTGCCTTAATTCTTGATGGCAGAGATTCAGAAAGGTTTTGGTCCATGTCGACGTGATTGCATCACACACTTGCTGCAGATCCATGATGTGAATCTCCCGTTCCACTACATTCCAAAGGTGCTCTATTGGACTGAGATCTGGTGATTGTGGAGGGCATTTGAGTACAATGAAGTCATTGTTATGTTCATAAAGGTAGTTTAGGATGATTTGACCTTTGTGACATGGCAGCCATGAGGAGATGGGTACTCTGTGGAGATGGACATGATCAGCAACAATAATAAAGCGGGCTGTGGTTTTTTTTGTTTTGTTTTTTTTAAACGATGCACATTTGAAACTAAATTATGCAAAAAAGTTATCCCTACATCATTAAACTACCAGCCTAAACTGATAAATCCGTGCATGCATGGACCTGTGCTTTCATGTTCTTTACTCTAAATTCTGATTCTACTATCTGAATGTCACAGCAGAAATCTGGACTTAACAATGGGCAATGATTTTT